TTTGGAGGTTTTTTTTATGCACTAGATAAAAGCTTCTAAGAAAATATTTTTAAATTGTTTAATTCTGTAATGTTGCTATTTTTAGTAGCATTAGGAGACAGCTGTGGACACAGAGAGGCAGCAGCTTGGGATGGTTCACAGGCACTAAGAGACACCCACAGTGTTTCAAGTGAGCCACAACAGACCAAACAGTTTAAAACCTTTTTTCCCTCCCCACCCAAGGGTGCAAATGACCCTGCACCCACCAGAATCCACAGAGCTCCCCAGGCTGTCCTGACATCCTGGAGACAGCACATCAGCAACCACCAGATCTGCTTCTGGGGTGCCACTTCTGCCTGTGAGGACAGCGTGTCACCAATTGGGTTACAGTAAGATGGACATCAAGTCCAAAGCCTCAGCTTCCTTCTTCCCTAATAAAGTTTATCAACACCCCATCAGTGTTTTGAGGCAACCCTTCTCACCAGATTTGGCCCAGCTGGTGACCATAAACAAATATTAACCCAGCCAGAGTCACAGCAAGACACAGATTGCTCACAAACGTGTACTGAGTCACAGAAAGAACACGGGACTCTGGTCTCTGTCACCTGATAAGGATGACGGGAACTCCCACCCACTGCTGTCACTGCCCCATGGATGCTGGGTGAGAACAAAAACCCACAGGCATGCCCAGGGCAGGATGATTTAGTGGCAGAATCAGGTCTGTTTCCTGCCTCCTCCTTGACACGAGGATTCCCCACCAAAGGGAAGGGGGGTCAAAACCCAGCTCAGGGTCTGTGCTGAGCAGTGGGGAAGTTTTCCTCACATTTGTCAGAACATGGATTCAATTTGAAGAGCAGCCCAAACATCTGTTCTCAGAGGACACCTGCGTGCTGCAGGTGTCTGCAAACACCTGAGGTTAAAAATCAGGAGCAATGCTGGTGTGAGCCATGTGGGAAACACATCCTATGTGAGTGAATCCCCTTGAATCCCCAGTGTGTTCTGTTAAATTCTGAGAGTCCTGACTTCTCACACAAATATACCTCAAGTATTTCTCTGAGTAGCACCTACACTTCATGTAAGTCAGGGGAAAATCAATTAAACCCCTATTAGCTAAACCATGTCTTTAGAGTCCCAATTAAGTACATCCACTTCTGGGCAATACAGGTGTTTCACTGGAAATAAAGAATTTGAACAGCCCACCCACAGGGATGGAAATGGGAATCTATAAGACAACTGTAGCACACAACTGCCTCACACCTGACATGAGAGAGAACAAGGTTTTACTGCAGATTTCTGCAGTATTTTCAGAGATAAACTTATCTTGATGCAAAACATCACCTAGGGAGTGCTAGTTAAACCATGACACAGCTACAAATTCTAAACAGATGAAAAAACCATGAGGATCTCTAGAAGAGATCTGACAACCTTACAAATAATGACCTTTTCACCTAAAGCTGGATCCAAAAAGCTTTGTTACAATAATGCTTTTTTCCCCCCCACACACAATGGAAACCATCATTACCTGACACACTTCAATTAAATATCACACCTACTGCTCTGATAAAAATTCAGCTTTCTAAACAAGAGCTAAAAAGAGAATGTAAAGAAATATTACATGTAAATTATTGAAATATACATTCCTTCTTCCAAACTGGGAATCTCTGAGCCAGCTACACTAAAATATGGATTTTAAATCCACCACCATTAGCTACTTCAAACTAATTCACTTTCTCATGGAATTAAAGCAGCTCCAAGCCTCTCACCCACAAAGCTGGCACACACTCCAATTAAAAGAAAATCATTCCATTTTCTTGTCCCAATACAATTTCCACACCAGCTTTAGATGAATCCAATGACTTTTATGGAGCTGCAGGAGCTCCCTGTGAAGGCCAGCCAAGGCCAAAGGGGTTCAGACCCACTCCTGCCCATCTCACAGATCAGTGTGGAGCTTCAGGCAACACGTGGGGCTTCACTGCACCACAAAAACCCTCCCGTGAGCCCCCTCCCTCCTTCCCACCTGTGCTGGGGCCCCACATCTGGAGGGGAGGCAGCAGAGCCAAGGTTACCGAGGGAGATTTGATCCTGGATGCAACAGTAGCAAAATGCCCTCCCCACTCCACTGCCCAGGGTTTCCTCCCAAGGAAGAAACGTTTTCAGCACTAAAACAGTTCATTTTTGGTTCTGCTTTTTGAACAAAGAAGTTCACTTTTGATTTTAGGCTGAAAGTGAAAGCTCAGCCTCTCTGAATGGAAAATAAATAACTAAATAGTAAAGCAGGCTGGTGTGTGCTGCTGCTGGGGAATGTACAGCCAGGATCTCGGGAATCAGATTCATGCAGCAAGAAGGCAGCACAGAAAACAGACATAACTCTAGGAAAGAGTTTAATAAATACCAGGGAAAGACAAAGGGTTTAACCTGTATTTCCTGCAGATCAAGGAACAGCCTCTGAAACTTTGGATGCAGATGTTCAACCCAAAACATTTTTGCAGCACTTAATAAAGCCAGCTGGCAGTTCCTTAGCACTGCCCAAGCCTGACAGAGGTCTGAAGGGGCACTGAGCATTCCTGGGAACTGGAAAAGTGGACACAGACTTGTAGAGACTACTTACAGGTATTTGTCCCCAGTCAGCCACTAATTTTTCCCCCTAGATTGGCCAAACAAGCTATTTAAAAATAATTCCTTAATTCCAGCAGTACTGCTAATTCACTGTAAGTTCCTCTGACCACAATTCCTAATGATGCTGCTGGAAATGGTCTTTGAAAGCACATTAAGCTCTGAGTGTTCCCTACAGTACATGAAAGACACAAAGTGGGGAAGGAACTGTGGGTCTGGAGACAACAGTTATTGCCAAAGAGCAGCTTTCACACCTGGGAACAAGTTCTAGTGAAACTATTTATGTGTTTGTTAATTAACTCACACATGGGACATTGCTACAGAGAACCTGGAACACCCAACACGTGCATTTGTGTCACCCCACCATGAGCTCCCTCACCATTTCCTGCAGGTGAACATCAACCCTGATGCAGAAGGAAGGGATCAGCCCTGAAAGAACGTGCCAGGCCTTTGCCACTTGGAAAAGTGACCTGATAGTCTCATCAAGACAAATTATTTGCATGACATGGTGGTGCCAGAAGGTTCTGACCCTAATCCCGGGCCACACAAGGCAAACCTGGTAGGGCACCTGAATCACCTGGGCAGTGTGGATTGCACAGGGCCCCTCAATGACATGGGAAAGGCGCTTCCAGAAGAGGAGCACGTGTCCTGATTGTCCCTGCTGAGGGACAGCGGGGTTAGTGCAGGGTCAGCCCAGCAGGGCCAACGACCCCGTGGCCATGCAGGAAGGGGAGGGAGCTGGGCAGTGGGGCAGGCACAGGGCACAGCACAACACCAGGCTGGGGGAGAAGGAGCAGCCCCTGCCAGGCTGAGAACAGGCACTCACACGGGCTCTGAGCCCTCTCAGAGCAGTCCCAGCCCGTGTTTGTTTGCACACATCTCACCACCCCAACAGGCACATGCCCACCCAGCCACAAGACTTACCAAATTGCATTAAAAAACGTGAAAACAGATCTTTACAGAACCAAAATACTGAAGTTGGGAAATTAAGGCTATTTCAACCACTTCAGTCAGTTCTGAGGCTGGATTTGAAATGCTGATATTTCAAACAAGAATTCAATATTCCTGAATGAAAAAGCTGCTTCAGCACAAACCAGGAGCACTCTGGCTACACAGAGCATCTTCAGGAGTAACTTTCAGGGAACTCTGTTCCCTGCTCTCCCCAGAACCCCCAGGATTACAGTGCAGTGTCAGTTTTAGTCATATCACCAACACATGGATGAGCTGGGAAAGCATCTTCTGCTGGAAGCCAACTGTTTTTTCCAAGCAAACTCCTGAACTCCTCGAGACCTTCTTTCATATTGCATCAGCTTACAAAACACAAGGAATTACTTGCTATTCCCCTACTCCTTCTGCAGATGCTTATTTGCCACTAAAATTCAATACGGAGCTGTAGGAGGAAGGAAAAACCAAAACCAAAAAGCCGACAAAGTTGTCTCACTACTGTTTATAAACTCAACAATTCCACACAAGTTTTCCCCCAACTGTTGATATCCTGACCTCCCCTTGGATTTCAAAGTTTTCAAAGGCGAGGTCTCTGGGTTTGATGTTCTACCTCTAAGCAGAACTTAGCTAAGTGATCCCTCTGTTCACCGTGTCTGAAACACACGGCACTCATTTGCTCTCCTGCAGCCCCCACCTTGCAGAACTTTCAGGTGAACACACTTTGGAGATGGGCTGAGAGGGCTCCAAACGAGCCAAACCCCCCGACAGAGAAGAGCAGCTGCTCCACGACATCTTTTTTACAGTTCCCGAGCTCACTGCACCAGAACACTCCTGTGTGCTGTTTTTCACCCTTGTACCGAATATCTCCCCTGTTTTTCTCGAGCTACAGCCTCACTGATAACCCGTGCCTACTTTTTCCTTCGGCAGTGCCACAGAGCCTTTATCAAGACAAACACACACCCGAGAGTCAGAAGATTTAAAGAGACCCTCAGTGCACAGGCAGACGCTGAGTTTTTCCCAAACACCCCGGTAACTCTCACACGTGCACCGCGGCTGCTTCCAGGCTCCTCCAGCGCCTTTCTACCACAATTTCCCTCCCTCTGAAGCTGCCTCAAACTCGGGGCGCCACAGCCCGTCCCCGAACGCAGGCTCACACGCCCCGTGGATCTGTTCGCCACCCCAACAGCTCCGCGGCCCTCGCACCAGCGAACCCGCACCCCGGGCTGGGGCCGAGAGTCAGCCGCGTCCGCCCCGGCCCCGTCCCGCTCCCGCAGCGCCATGGGAGCCGCCTCCGGCCCGGCCAGGGGACAGAGGGCCCAGCACAAACACCGCCCGTTCCCCCCCGCCCCGCCGGGGCCCTGGGGCGACCGGGCCGGGGGGGGCCGGGCCCGCGGCCCCTCGGCCCCGCGAGCCCCCTCAGGCCGTCCCGCCCGCCCCCCCCACCCCCGGCCCCGGGCCCGCACCAGTTGGTCATGTCGAGGAAGAAGGCGCAGCCGGCGGGGCTGAGCTGGAAGCCGAGCAGGCGCTGGAACTCGCCGATCAGCACGTCCTTGTCGGTGGTGCCGAGGCAGCTGAACTTCTGCATGAGCTCCGCGTCCAGGTCCACGTCCATGCCCTCCATGGCCGGGGGTCCCGGGGGCTCCGCGGCCGGGCCGGGGCCGCCTCAGCGCCGCGCGCGCGGGGGGGGCGCGCGGGGGCGGGCGGGCGGGCGGAGGGGAGGGGGGAGCGGGGGGGGGAAAAGTGGGTGCGCGCGCCGCCGCCGCCGCCGGCACTGCGCCTGCGCCGCTCCGCCCCACGGCGCGCGGCACGCGACGTCACCCCCCGGCTGGCGTCACCCCACGCGCGGCGCGGGGCGGGGCCGCGTGCCCGCTGGGGGGAGGAAGGGAGCGCGGCAAGGGCGAGGGAGCGGGGCCGAGCATGCAAATGAGCGCGGCGCGTGACTCGGGGGCTCCGCGCGGGCTCTGCTGCGTCACAGAGGGGCGGGGCGACCGCTCGGCTCCGCCCACATTCGCGCGCTGCCTTCCATATATGGCGGTGAGTGCGCGTGTTTGTGTATGCAAATGAGCATCCGTGACGTCATGCGGCGCCATGCAAATGAGAGGCGCAGTGCTCGACGGGAGCACCTTTGGTGTTTTTTTCCGCCTAAAAATGATGTTTTTCATGCAGTTTTCGACCGCGCGAGGCTGCTCCGTGCGCGGCCGGCGATCGGAACCACGGAGTGTGTTCCGCGAGGAGAACACAAAGAGCGAGCAGAACACGCTTTGGCAGCGCCGGGGGCCCCAACGAACCCTGCGCGCCGGCGAGCGCTGCCGGGGCTGTGGGCGGGTGATGGTGGCGTGACCAGGGGACAGACGGGCGGGCGCGGGAGGGCTCCACCTGCCGGGCGGGGAAAACGACATGGCGGAACTCATCACTGTCACTTCCGGCCCTACGGCAGCCGGCGGGAGTCAAGCGGCGGCGCTGTGTGAGCGCGTCACTGAGCGTGTGCGCCACTTCCGGCTGGCGGCGGCGGGAGCACCATGCCCAAGTGAGTCCGGGAGGCCGGGCCGGGGCTCCTCGGGCGTCCCGGGTGGGGGTCCTGGGCGGGGGTCGCTGCTTCTCGAGGGTCCTGGTGCTCCCCGTGAGCCCAGGGGCGCGGATGACCGAGCGGGCCGAGCCCTGGCGCCCTGCGGGGTCGTTCCCGGGGCTCCCTTAACGCTCACAGTGTTAATATAATAAAGGTCTGTCAGAGTCTGAGTCTGTCAGAGCTCAGGGAGTAGCTGGAATAATAATAATATTATTATTCCAGCTGCTCCCTAATAATAATATAATATTAATGATAACATTAATAATAATGATAAAATAATATGTTCGTATTATCATTAATAATTATCTATAACATAATAAGGCTTTTAATAATAACAGGACTTTTCCCCGGCAGGTTTTACTGTGATTACTGTGACACGTACCTCACCCATGACTCGGTGAGTACCAAATCCTCTGCTTCAATTCTTTGGCGTGTCAAAAGCATTAAAATAAAAGTTACCTCAGCTAAAAGCAGCTCCTGTGGGTACAGCGGTGTTCCTTCGTGTTCTCCCCTTCCACATAAAAAAGAAGGAGAACGTGCCATGCCCCTGGTGTTCTCCAGTGGGGCAGTGGCAGGGTCAGAGACGGCAGCTCGGGGGCCTTGGGGCAGCCTTTGGAGAGTCAACACTTATGTGCTGATACAAACGTATATAAGAGTTTTGTACATCACCCCTCTGCTTCCTGGGCGCAGAAACAAACCTGCTTCATGCTGCTAAATTAGACGTGTTTAAAATCATGAGGAACACTGGTAATCTTAGGGTTTCTGTGGCATTTCCCAGCCCTCCGTGAGAAAAACCCACTGCAGTGGCCGGAAGCACAAGGAGAACGTGAAGGATTACTACCAGAAATGGATGGAGGAGCAAGCCCAGAGCCTGATTGACAAAACAAGTAAGGCCAATCTTTCTGTGACCCCGCCTGCCTCCCCATTCCTTCCCCTGCCTTTCCTCCAGCTGCTGCTCCCTGCTTCCACCTTGACCTTTCCTCACTTCCCTGGGGAGTCTTTGCTCAGGGAGTCGTGAGTAAAATCTTGGAGTGTGGATTTTGAGTCCCTCAGGTTTTGGGCTGTCCTGGGGCAGCCTGAGAGCTTTGCCTACCACACAAGAGCTGAGGTTTCCTCCCAGGGCTGATGGCAGTGGCTCCATGTCACTGTTCATGAGGGCTCTCAGTGATATCCTGCAGGGCCACATTACAAACTTGTGCTGCTTGGCAGTGCCACGTTTTTGCTAAGAGCATGGACAAAAATTCCAAAAGATAAAAAAACAGGCATAAAAATGTGTGGATTGTTGCATTTTTCACGTGCTGGGATTGCCTGCCCTCAGTTCCCAATTGATGTTCTTTCCTGGCACGTAAAGGCTTAACTGAAATGTGGCATTGATTCCTCTGTCACTTCAAGAGGTCCTTTTTCCACTGTGAAAGAAACACAAACAGCAGATTAGCTTTGTGGCAGCACTCCTTGGCTCGTGGGATAGCTCAGGTTGGACAGGACCCCTCAGGATCACTGATCCCACTCCAGCTCCGTGCAGGACTGCCTGAGACCAAACCATGTGAGCAGCAGCATCTTCCAGCTGCTCCCTGAGCTCTGACAGACTCAGAGCTGTGCTCACTCCCCTGGGGAGTGTTCAGTGCCCAACCATCTCTGGGTGAAGAGTTTTCCTAAAACATCCAGTCCGGATTTCCCCAAACTCATCCTCACTCTGTTTTCCTTGTGATGCTTCCAACTTCCCCATCTTTTGCCTTCCTCCCACTCAATACCAGTGGAATTCCTCCCCTTCCTTGCCCCCCTTTTCCTGCTCTTTGCCCCCTCCCCAGCCCTGTCCCCACGTCCATTCCAGCACAGCATGTCCCGGTGGAACGCTGCGGATCCCGCCACATGGGGTTGATTTTTGGTTTTTCCTCTCCCACCTCCCCTCCCTCCTGCCCTGCCCAGGGGTGTGACATCCACGCAGGAGCTCTCTAGTCCCAGCTGTAACAATAATTGTCTCCAGGAGTCTCAGGTGCTCCCCAGGTGCCAGGGATGTGTCCGGCGTGGGGACAGCAGCGCACGCAGCATGACGTGACCGCGGGGCATGACACGGACGAGCGACCCAGCCCTCCCTTCCTCGGCCTAGTAACTGGTGTTTTTTTTTCCCTGGGATTCTTTCTTTCCTTTTTTTTTTTTTTCTTTTCCCCCCCAATGTAGCGGCTGCATTCCAGCAAGGGAAAATTCCACCGACGCCGTTCTCGGCACCACCTCCGGCCGGAGCCATGATTCCACCTCCTCCCAGCATCCGTAAGTTTGGGGCACTTTGGGACTGGGATCAGGGCCCTCTGGAGCTGTGTTGTTTGTGCCCTCAGCTTGGAAAGAAAAGACCTTTTAGCTTGAAGCCAAGCCATCTTGAGCTTGTGCTCCCAGGGTGTGAAGAAATTCTGTATAAGAGCAGCTCAGTCCTTACCGTGTCTGATTTCTGGGATGCTGAGTGCACCAGAAGCAGTCACAACCCCTCATTCCATGGGGGCTCCCGGGCAGGTGGCTCTGTTAAAACCGCACAGTGGGTTGGTTTGGGTTGGTTTTTTTAAATAGAAATCCCTTTGCTGACCTTTTGCCCTTGAGCTGGTGAAGGGCCCAGAGCCCTCCCAGCCCAGAGTGGCAGCTCCCTGTGCTGGGTGTGCACAGCTCGAGCTGGCAGCCAGCATATTCCTCCTCTGCTCACTTCTAGCACCTGGAATCAGGGCTGGAACGGAGGCAGCTGTAAAGCCACTGGGGCACTAGTTACTGCCACGTGCTGTGAGTGGCTGCAGTGCCCTTTGGTGGCTGAGAGTGCCTGTGTGTAACTGTTGTGTCTGTCCAGCTGGCCCCCCCCGGCCCGGCATGATGCCAGCCCCACACATGGGGGGGCCCCCGATGATGCCAATGATGGGCCCACCCCCCCCAGGAATGATGCCAGTTGGACCTGGTAAGTTTGGGATTGGGTAATTCTGCCATGGGGGGCTGGCTGGGGAGGTCTGGGGAGTGTTTGCTGTCCCACCATCCTGTCCCACTCAGGGCTGGGCTGGTCGTGCTCTGGTCACACCTGTGTCACTGCTACCCCTGCATGGGGAGATTACAACAATTTTACAACCACTCATTAAACCCCTTTGCTTCTCATTGAGAGGCACCAACCCCCTGTGCAGCTGGAATTATGGCTCTGAGAAGTCATAGCTGTTCTCCCTCTGCTCTGAGCAGTGATTGTTTAAGAGTTTGGTGCCTCCAGGTCTCAGATTTTGCACCAGAGGTGCATTTTTTGCACTAAATGTTTTTTAGTGTTTAAAGCATCTCAGGGGAACGTATTCCATTGAAACAATGGGTCTGGAAAAGGCTTTATCAGAACTGTAAACTAAAATGTCTTTGATCCATTCCACTCCTGAGCTTCCTGGCATTTGAAGAATTCCCAAGGGATATCTTATTGGAACAGTTCCCAGAACAAATCTATGGGAACACACACACACATGTGCACTGAAAGTAGTGAAGTGTCTTTGTAATTTTTGTCTTGCATTTGAAAGTGTTCTTTAAGTGTTTTTAAAGGCTCAAGATAAATGCACAATCTGTGATATTCAGCAGCCTGGCGAAAATAAATGGCAAAGTGGGATGGAAACCATTATTTCAGGGCTGTGCAGTAGAGCCCCTGCTTTTCCCTGGCAGAGGTGCTCACTGCTTGTTTGTGAGCACATGGGATGGTTTTGCAGCAGTTTTCTCCAAATTAACACATTTCCAGATCAGTAATTAAGCTGGTGTGTCTCTTGAGTGGCTGGAAATAAGTTGTGAGTGCATATTGTCAGAATGGGTGTATAACCCAGGGGCTCAGTTCCTCCTCTGCTGCTGGCTGAGCTCCTCAGGGAACAGAATCCATCTCAGCAGCTGCCAGATCAGAGCTTACAGACTTGGAACATGGGAGTTCCCTGGAGCAGGGTAGAGAACCTGCCCTCTGTACAGTGTGAAATTTCCCTTCTCTGAGGGTGGTGAGGCAGATGTTGCTGTGAAGAGAAGCTGTGGCTGCCCCTGGATCCCTGGAAGTGTCCAAGGCCAGGTTGGATAGGACTTGGAGCAGCCTGGGATAGTGGAAGATGTCCCTGCCCCTGGTAGGGGAGTGGAAATAAATCTTTAAGGTCCATCCCAACCCATGTTCTACCATGACTGGGCAGTGGTGCTCCCAAGAGCTGTTCTCTAACCTGTCTCTCCCCTGGCAGCTCCTGGGATGAGGCCACCCATGGGAGGACACATGCCAATGATGCCAGGGCCCCCCATGATGAGACCCCCCTCCAGACCCATGATGGTGCCAACCAGGCCAGGAATGACCCGTCCAGACAGATAAAGATGGAGATGAAGCTGCCTTTTCATATTAGGACCTTCCCAATGACTAACACCACAGACCTGTGTTCCCGGGGCTTTGTACTCAGTGTGTGGAGAGATTCTGCTGTAAACTCAGCATAAGAATGGACACACCCTGCACTGACTTGTACGAGGTCTGGCTTTTTGGGTGTCTCTTTAATTGTATTATTTCCCTCCCCCCCCGTTCAATGACAAAAACAAGAATAAACATTGATGTTGTTTCCATATGGACTTGGAGCCTTGTTCTGAATTCTCTCCTGGGGAAGAAAATAAGGGTGGGAGGAGCACTGCTGGGCTGTGAGGGAAGTCAGGGCTGATGGGGAGCCCCTGGGAATGGGGTCCTGGAGGATCCTGGGGTGGCTCCAGGGTGGTCTGGGGGTGATCCTGGGTTGGTTCTGGAATGGGGTCTGGAGGGGAGTTCCAGGGTGGTCCCTGAAGGATCCCGGAGTGGGCTCCTGGGTTGGTCCTGGAGCGGGCTGAGGGAGGGGAGTCCTGAAGGATCCCGGGGTGGGTTCCTGGAGCTCTTGGCTTGGTCCTGGAGTGGGCTCCGGATGGGGGTCTCAGAGCAGGTCCCTGGACGTCCGGGGGCTCACTGCGACCGCCCTCTCCCCGCACACGCCCGGAGCGCAAGGCTGGGGCGGTGCGGACAGGGACGGGCGGTGCGGGAAGGGGCCGGCCGGGGGCGGTGCGGACGGGGACGGGCGGTGCGGGAAGGGGCCGGCCGGGGCGGAGCGGACGGGGACGGGCGGTGCGGGAAGGGGCCGGCCGGGGGCGGGCGGTGCGGGGCGGAGCGGGCGGTGCGCGATGGGGTCCTGCCGCCCGCGGGCCTGACCCGCCGGCCCGGCATGGCGGGCATCATCAAGAAGCAGATCCTGAAGCACCTCTCCCGGTGAGCCTCCCGCTCCTCTTCCTCCTTCTCCTCCCCGTCCTGCTCATTCTCCTCATGCTCCTCCCGGGGGGCTGCGGGGGACGAGGGCCGGGCCTGGCGGTTTGGGGCCCGCCGGGCAGCGCCGGTGCGGAGCTGCCGGGCCCGGGGGGCTGAGCGCCCGTTCGGGCCGTGGAGCCGCCGGACCGGAGGGGTAGTCCGAGGGTCAGGGGGTGTCCGAGGGCCGTGGGCACTGTGGTGTCCGGGGGCAGCGGGCCCAGCCTGGCCCTGCCGCCCCTCCCCGGGTCGGAGCCCTCCGAGCCCGGCTTTCCCCGGTGTCGGTGCCGCCCTGGGCCGCCGGCGGCGGCAGTGGAAGTTCGGGAGGCGAGAAGGGAACACAGAGCTCTGGGGGGGTGTTGGCGTTGTATTCCGTCATTTTCAGTGAAGTTCGTCGGAGGGGCGTTGGGGAAAAGCCGGTGTTCCCGGCGTGAGGCTCTGCCGGGAAATGCATCTGCGGCCGGGGCTGCTCGGGGCGGGCCCCGGGCACATAGCGGTGCCTCAGTTTCCCTTCACGGCGATGAAAGCGCTGCCTGTGTTATCTCATGGCTGCGGGCACGATCCCGCATCGCTGCGGGGTCAGGGCAGCGTGAACAGAAAGGCGCCGTGCCTGTGAGGGTGCAGGTGAGGCCACAGCTCTGCACAGCGCTTGTCCTCTCTGCTTTCTGAGCAGGTCCTTTCCATCCCTGCTGCTGGACACGCTCCGGTGCACAGCGAGGGGTCTGTAGTGACCTGTGTGGGGTCAGGGCTGGTGTGATCCATGAATCCCAGCCCTCTGAGGTGGATCCTGGGGGTGTCTGGAGCCCCAGACCATCCCCACACACCCTGAGTGGGCAGTGCAGTGTCTTGGAGTCGCCAATTTCCATGCTCCGGCTCTCTCGGCACTGTCCCGAAGGAGGAGTGATGGAGCTGCTCTGGGTGCTCAGAAATCCTTAAATGGATTTCTGACATCCCAAGTTTCCGAGCTTTCTGTCTCATTCACCTCACACAGGTGTGTTGTGGTCAGTACAGATTCAGCCTCCTGGTACGGAGGCATTGAAGTGTTTTATAGCACGGAGAGGTGGGTGAGAGCAGTTTTTGATGAAAGGTAAAACAGAGCTGGGTGTTATCCGGGGTGCTGTTCTCATGGACAATTCTCTTTCTTTACATAAATACAGTTTTGCTGGTGCTTTTGCTTAATTTTGTATTTCAGTCTCTCCTTACCACTGCTACAGCATATTCTTACCCAAAGTGCCCTTTTTCCCTCTGATTGGACCAGTTCTTAGTGTTCACCTGTGTATCCTTTGGGCGGTTCCAAGGAGAACAAGGAGTCCCAAAATATTCAGCATCTCTGCCTGTTTTCCTGCTAGCTGGACTTTGTTGTTTGGCTGATTGATCTGATGCTGCCCCTCACTTGAACAAGGATTGTGGATCTTTGCAGAAATTAAATTTGAACCCAATTTAATGGTGTATAAAAAAAAGATTAATTCTTTTTGTTTCAGTTTTATTTCGTCCAAATACCTCATCCTCACTTTTGGTTTTCTTTCAGCCACGCTCATTTGCCTGGAAGAATTTTGCTACTGAATCATTAATCTGCCTTTATATTCTGCTCACATTTGCATATGAAATAATTCCTTGTTCTTTTTGTTGTGTCTCCACTCGGAGCCCTTTCTGCACGGGGGTGTGGTTTTTTTTTGTCCCTCTTCCGTGTGGAAATTTGCAAGAAAGCGGTCAGGAGAGGCAGCTGGATCAGGGCAATGTGAATGAGGGGTTTCACCTGACTGTTCCTGTGATCCCACATCACCTGAGTGGCCGTGGTGGTCCCAGCAGGGATTGGTACAGCTAGGCTTTGCCCAGTTGTGAAGGTATTTGAGGAGGCTCAGCCTTGTGTTGTGCTTCAGCTCTTAAATTCCTAGAGCAGGAGAACCTAAAAACTTGCGGAGCTTTCGCCATCTGTGCCTTTCACTCCTTTGTCCTATATTTAGCTTGGAAAAGCAAACAGATGAGGTGGTTTCAGTTCTTGCTGCTTCCAGGCAGGCACAGGGCTGCAGTGCTGGGGAGTGTTTGGAGCCCAGCATCAGGGACTCCCCCAGAGCTGCTGCCTCTGAGCATGGTTGTGCTCCCCAGCCTGTAATTATCCATGGAAGCACATCTAATGCTTTAAAATAAAATCAGTGAGCTGCCTCTACCTCTTCCTGGCCTTATTTGAAAGGAGCTTCTTCTCGTTGTCTTTTTTTTGTTCCAAGCAGTGTTGGCGTAGCCGCAGCAGATCCGCGTTCTCAGGGTGTGACAAAGGCCCTGTTTATCCACAAGCTCAAACGGCCTCAACTTCATGTGCCACTTTGGGATTTGAGTTCTCAGCACTGCAGTGGGAATCCTTGCCAAAATGGCTTTTATTTAATTTCCTTGGAGAGGTTTATCCCCTGCTGCCTATAACAGCTGCTTTGTGACGTTTTCTTTTGGGACACGTGTTGAAGCTTGTGAGCTTGTGGAGTAACAGGCACACCAGGCATGGCTTCCAGAGGAAATGCAACGTGCAGTCCTGCTGGGAAGAAATAAAAGCTGGTGTCAGCAGAGGAGCAGCTGGACTGGGATTTGGGGGCAGGTCTGAACACAGGGGAGACCATAAATGTGTCTTACTGTGACAGAAACCCCAGAGAACTGCAGCTGAGGAGTAACTTTGGGAACCTCTGAGAGTGGGGTGAAAAGGGAGCAGAGGAGAAATGAGAGAGGGGTTAACAACAGCAGAGGTTGCTGAGAGGAACCAGAGAGGTTACAGTTACCAGAGAGGAAAACCTGTGTGGAAAACCAGACCTGTTTGCAGAGGAGAGTGCCGAGCGTGTGTCACCGGTGCAGGCAGATGTGTAACAGGTGTGCAGCACAGAAATGAGTGGATGGCAGATTGTGGATTTGGCAAACTGTCCTCAGCACAGGATGGAGCCACCTTTTCAGGTAAGTGAGATATAGGATTTAGGAACAAAATTAAAAATACTGTTAAGGAATAGAGCAGGGGAGCAGCATGTGCAGGGTGCAGCACTGAGGTGCTTATCAGGGCAGGTCAGGTACTCAGCCAGGAGAAACAGCATCGTGTAGCTCCTCATAAATGGTGCTGCACCTCAGTGGAGGGATGGAGGAGAGCCTCTCCACTCCAGGGATTAAACCTTGCATCCCCTTTTCCAGGAGAGGTTGCCTTGACTCCTCCCCTCTCTGATTTGCAGCTGATGGGTAAGTGAAGGCCAGGGAGGCTCATGGTGTGGCTGTAGTTTGTTCTAGACCCGGACACGTGGGTGTGACAGCATGTGCTGAGCTGGGAGCATGTGGGCTCCTGGGTGCTCTTGTTTCCTAGCTTGGATGTGAGCATCTCAGAATCCCTTCCTGGCCCTGAAGATGCCTTTGGCATTATCCCTTCCATGCAGTTGTGCTGCTTCTGTGCCAGATCTGAGATCTGGCTCCCAGACCCAGCACTGCTCTGTGTGTGAGCCCTGCCTGTTCTGCAGCTGGCTTTGGGGCTGTCTGGGGCTCCTTGCTCAGGGCTGTGACTCCTCCCTGTCCATCCCCACCATCAGAGACCTGCACTCAGGCTGAGGCAGGGCACAGAAAGGCCTTTGCAGCTGTGGCCATCCTGCCAGGGGGGGAGAGATTCCTGGGGTCAGCATGGCAGAAATTGGATGTGCTATCTCAAGGGGACCCATCCCTCTCCTCAGAAAAGGTGGGCAGATGAGATAGAGCAGTTCTTTCACCAAGAAGATGGGATTTGTTCTGTGCCATTCAGGAATCATTGGAATAGGCTCTGTGGCTTGCACCAGGCAAGTCAGGCCATGTCACCAGCTCTGCCTTTGCCCAGCACAGGAGTGCAGGGAACTCTCTGAGTCTAAAGAATGCTTTCCCCCCTCAGCTTAAGTTTCTGGCCCAAGTGCTGCAGTCTGGGTGCTGCTATAGGAGAACAGACCCTGAATTGCTGCTCTGTTTGCTCTCCCTTGCCCTGAAGTGTTTTGCAGCATCGCTGCGTGCTGGAGCACCGCGCTGCAGCTGTGCCCTTGCTGCAGTCACAGGATGGCACACGCAGCTCCTGAGGGCTGTGGGACACCCTCAGAGCCAGGAAAAGCTACCACCAATAAGAGAGATTTGCTTACTAGCAACCCTCCAGGCTTCTCCCAGTTTCCTGACCTTGATTATAAATTACCTGGAAGCAATTTAGTGAGCGTGGTGGGTAAGGAGGAAAGCAAGGAAACTGAATCTGGGAATGGCCTGAGGAAGCTACAGAATCTCAAGTGATTTAGGCAGCAAAACCTCTGACCAGCTTTGTAATTCTGGCTTTAGCTGCTTGAAT